AAAACAGTTGTGATAAAAGACGGCGTTACATTTGGCCTTCTGTTTTCTAACCTGCTTCACCATGGGACTGCAGACTTTCTATGGAAAGCAACTACCACACAGCTCGAGAYGGTCTGAAGAGGCTCTGGAAGCATACAGGCCTTCTGCTGACTCGCAGGAAAATATTATCCTACAGCTTGGTCTGCCTGTGGGACTACATTTCCTTTGGGCTGCCTGTTCTAGCCCCACTCACCATGGGCCTCTAGGCTTTCTCTCTATCTAAACCCTAACACTACTCCTAGCACCAACTCTAAGCTTAACACAGTTTGACGTGCTGAGGCCTAGTACTAGCTAACTGTCAGGAAAGGTCCCAGCACCGGTCTTGTTATAGGACTTTATTYGCTTTGTACTGCCTCTTTGAGCCCAACTTACCATGGGGCTCTAGGTTTCTTACTCTCTCTGAACACTAACCCAAAACCTGAGCTGCTGAGGCCCAGTGCTCGCTGAGCGGCAGGAAACATCGCAGCACTTGGGTGGCTGTAGGGCTATGTTGGCTTTGTCCTTCCTCTCCTGGCCCCACTTGCCATGRGGCTCTAGGCTTTCTCTCAGTCCTAGCTAGCCCTATGCTACCCCAAAATCTAAGGTGCTGGGGCCTAGTGCTGGGTAAGGGTCAGGAAAGGTCTCAGCAGCAGTCTTGCTATAGGGCTGTATTTGCTTTGGGTTGCACTTTCTAGCCCCACTTGCCATGTGGCTTTATGGTAACTGTAGTCCTGAAAGTTTTGGGACTTGTAGCCTACTGCTGACTCCAATTTAAATATTCTCCCTGCTCCAGTTTTGCTATAGAGGTGTGTTTCATTTCACCTGCTCTTTTTAGCCTCATTCCCCGTGGAACTATTTTCACTCTCTTAACTCTCTTCCCAGCTCTCAGTCTCGTTGTTAGCCAGATCTCAGGTTGGTCTGAAACTTGGGAGCGCAGTGGCCAGCCCTTTGTGAATGATTAATGCTGTCCTGGAGGCAACGGGACATACAGCCTTTGGCTGCCCTCTGTGACCCCACTCTCGAGCTGTAGGCCTTCCCTGTCTTTTCATCCTAATCGCTGGAATCAAATTGATTGCAAGTGTCTCTGGAGGCCTGTGGGGCCTAGTGCTGGCTCAAAGATAAATTTTATCTTAGAGTCTGTCTGAATATTTCCCTACATTTCTTTTCGTCTGCTCTTTTTAGCTCCACTTCTCATGGAGCTCTAGGGTTTCCTCCTCCCTTAACCCTATCCCTAATCTCAGCTGTCAGCCAAATCTCAGGCACATTTGGAGGCAGAGGCCACCAAGCCTGGTGCTGGCCCTAGTGGATATGTTGTCCTAGAACTGATGTCATGCAGTTTTAGGTTTTGTCTGGCATGTCCTTTGTAGCCCAGATATCCATGTGTTTATGGGTGTGTGTGTGTGTGCGCGCGCGCACGCGTTCTCTCTCACTCTCTCTCTGTGTCATTTACCTAATCCTAACCAGTCATATCTTGGTAGTCAGAGGGCTAAAGCCCCCAAACCTCATGCTGTGTGATAGGCAGATGTTTTCCTAGAGCCAGCCCAAAACAGCATCACTTTTYGTTTGGCTTGCCCTTCTGAGGCCCCGAGCATGGGGGGCTTTTGACCTTCTCTCCCTCTCTTATCCCTGTCCCCCGCAGTTGGCCAAACCTCAGGTGGGTCAAGAGTCTGAGGCCACGAAGCCAGTTGGTGAGCCAGCACCGGATGTTTGGCATAGAGGCAGTGTGGATATAGGGTTCTTTTGTTTGGCATACTCCTTCTCACTTCCCTCTGTGCAGTGCTCTAGGCCTTTCTTTTAAGCCTAACCCTGACCCTTGTTGTCAGCCAAGTCTCAGGTGTGCCTGGAACCCAGCAGGCCTCATGCTTGGTGAGGGGCAGGCCGTGGCCTAGAGGCAGCGTGGCTATCGCCCTGGCACAGCCCGTGGAGCTCTAGGCCTCCTCTCTTGGTTAGCCCTAACCCTGGTTGTCAGCAGAATCTCAGGTGAGTCCAGAGGCTGAGGGCAAAAATGCCTGCTGGGTTCATCTGCTGGGTGAATGGCAGATGTTATGGGAGAATTATTCTAGCTGTAGGTATAGGCATATATGGTAGTATTCTGAGCTATAGGTGAGTTTTTGGTTTGCTGACTGGGCCTCAGTATTGTTGTCTGTAAGAACCTAATTACTGTTTCAAAGCTTTTCCAAATTCCTTGAGATGAGATGCTGTGAAAATGTAAAGAACTACTGATTGGCTCATCAAACTTTAGAGAATGCTGCATTAATTGCCTATTTAATAGTCTGCTAGCAGTTAGTGTGGGGCAGCAACTCAGTATTTTGGTTGTATGCGAACGTGGCGAGCAGTTGTGGTGCCGGGAGAGGATGGGGTGGAAACTGCCCTGTGAGTTCCACACACTTCCGTGTCAGGAAGAGCAAAGGCGTGCGGCGTGGTCAGGCAGAGCGTGCTGCTCCTCGCACGTTATTCCCRTGAGGAGAGTCCCGGGCCTGGCTGCCCCGTGACGCGGGCTGGCGTGAGGCAGGTGCTGCTGCTGCTCTGGTGGGGCGCCGCGCTGGAAGGGGAAGCTGGCCCTGCTGTAACGAAGCAGTTCTAATCTCCTTGTAGAGCAAAAAGAAAACAATCTGTTTTTATTTGGAACGACCTTAGTTGTTTTTATTAAAGTGACTTAACACATTAACATGAATGAGGACTTTAGTGGGGACCAGTCCAGCCTTCTTGAAGGAGCTCACCTTCAAGAAGCCGAGTCACAGGGGATGCATCCTGCTTACCCAGAGAAAACCATCTCTGAAACATTCAGGACGTACCCTGGCCTCATTAATCCACACTGCCAAGCTTTATCCTGAGCAGAAGTGAATTCCTGTTCATTGGGAGAGCCTCATTATGTAACAGCCCCAAAAGGGAGCAGATCAGGCAGCTGCTCTTGGCTGCTGCCACTAGCAACGCGGCCACGCTTAATCTCGACCCACCTTGCCCTGCACAGGCCTGATTAAGTACTGAGCTCAGTAGAACTCGTGTTTATGTATCTGGTGTCATCATGTGTCTTCCTCTGCTGCCACTTGTGTGGAAGGCTCAGAGAACAAGCAGCATCTGAACATGGGGAAGGCAGAGCAAAATGGGCACACTTCGTCCTCATAAAATCCCTGTTATTGAAAGGGATGTTTGGCATTGTTTAAAATAATCCAAAATTACTGCTAGAGGATTTAAGTGTACCTGCACGAAAATAAAGAGATCATAGAATTAAACAAAATAGCCACTGGTAGCAATAAGTTACCCTCTTTAATTATAACTTGATTTCTTTTTTCCTGATGAAATAATTGGTGACTAAAAAACCTAACTTCTTCCTAAAGAGTTAAGTATGGTACCTAAAATTGAACTCCAGAGCAAAGAAAGATGTAGATACTTTTAGCACTTTATTTAAAGCATTTACTTTTTTGCCAGAGAGCATACAACTAATTCCTTCTTTCTAAAAATGTTTATACTTCTCTATAGTGTGCCTACATCAGCAGCCTCCTTGTATTCAAATGCCTCTGCAAAACTAAGGTAGACAAGACACAGGTTTGATGAAGCAGGGGGAGGCATGCCATGTTCCAGCAAACATCCACAGAAGTCCACAGCACCTTGGGCCTTAACTGCCTGCACACTTTGCATCCATGAACACTGTGCAGGAGAAATGGCTCTTTGTTTTGTGTTCGGGTAAAAGAGTACTTTTAAAAGGGAAAGGATGATCCTGCAGGAAAGAGGCTGTCTTAAAACTCAGACATCATCTGTGAATTGAGGATAATGCTGCTTTTCCTGTGAGAAGTTGTCTGGTGTGGATTGAAAGGCATGCAGACGTCACGTAGATGGGGCTTATGGAAGAAATTAAATGTTGTCTGTTCTCAGACAATCACGTGAATGCCAGCCAAGAGCRGTGGCAAAGGAGGGAAATTAAGCTCTGGCTTAAAACAGGTGTTTCTAATTCTCACAGTTGATGGAATCTGACTCCTTTTGCTGTCAGGTAATAACACTGTCACTTGTTTAGCTGAACTGAATTGAATCCCTATTGCAAAGTGCTAAGTGATCTGCACCGTAATGTTTTATAAAGTTACTCAGTGGATATATTATAAAAATAATAATAAAAATTGCTCGTAAAAATAACTTTCAGCATTTAACAGATGCTAATCACATGGGTTATCAAAAAGTAGCAGGCACATGAGAAATAGTTTTCATGGTTTTCCAGCTCCTTCCACTCTCTTTTATTCCCAAGGTATTCAGATGACTTTTACTGAAAGCTTTCTGTTATCTTTGAATGGTTATTACTCTTTAAATAAGTTGTGTCAAACTCTGGCTTCAGTGCTGCCATTTGAGTCAAAATRAGGAATTCGTTTTAATCTTTTATAACACATGGCTGAGTGATCTAATTTAGTGGTGGCTTCACAGTATGTGCTGCTGCTTGGAGCCACGTATTGTCTTACACGTGGCTGCTTGGAGCCACATATGAGCATGCAGCTTCGTTTGTACACTGCCCGAACAAATTATTTTACTAATTTGAAGGTTATGATGTAAATTCTTAATTTATACCACCTACAAAATGTCACTAGAGTTGTATGGATTAGAATGGCCTTATTATTTCTTAAAATCATGTTATTGGGACTTTTTGGAAGGACGACAGTATTTTCCTTGGGAAAAGCTACTGAGTTAACCAAGTAGAGGTGCAAGCAGCTTACCTCCTGAGTGTCTCCATAGCAGCTGACAGGTAGCCCCAAACTGGCATCACCTACACGTGCAGAGGCACTAAACCAAAATTTTCCCAGTTCTTCTGTTGTTGCAGCATGTGCACATAGGCTTCGCCTAAAGAATCTTTAGGCCTGCGCGATATCTTTGTTGTGCCCTTGCCGGCTCTTAGAGGCACAGCTGATGGAGTGCTGTGGTGTGTTTTGTTTGCTGCTGTGGGTGCTGTTGCTGTCCCGCCGAGGCGGTGCCGCTCACTGTCCCCTTGTGTCTCCCCGCAGAGCGACGAGGTGCTGACGGTGATCAAGGCGAAGGCGCAGTGGCCAGCCTGGCAGCCGCTCAACGTGTGAGTACCCGCCCGGCCCCGAGCCCCCGCCTCGCCCTGCCCTTTACTGGCATAAGGGAACAATCCGAAAAATGTTGTTATAAATTCTTTTTTTTTTTTTAACAAGTATTAAGGATTCATCTCATTAGTTAAGAGTTGAATCAAGTTCTTGGAGAAACAGGGCAGTTCTGCTGTAGTGTTGTAGGGCCTGGGTAATGCCATTCCCTCTGCAAAAAGCATGAGGGAAAACTAGAGGAAGGCTGTGCCAGGTTTTGTTGTCTGTCCTTTGGAAAGCATGTGAAAATTTGAAGGTTAGTCAAAAAGCTGCAAGAAATTTCAGTTTTTAGAAAAGCCCTGAGTGTAAGAGGCTTAGAAGCTCTTAAGAGGCTTAGGACTTTTCTTCCTTCCTCTTCTCCCAAAAAGGAGGTTAAGTAGTGACTAAATCACAGCTTAAATAGTGAAAAGATTTCTAATAGTTGATCTAGAAAAAGAAAGCTCAAAATCCCTGCAATCATGAAAGATGAYGCCAAGGAAATTCAGACCAAAGGTTTGGGGAAAATCTTTACCTAACCTTCAGAACAACTTACCTGGACGTGGGGTTGGATTTGACATCCCTTGAAGATACTTGGAACTCTGGAGCAGGGCTGTAGGCTCTGGGGGCGTGGGAAGCCTGTCTGAGACAGGGGCCCTTGGCTGGTGCAGCGCCAGCAAGCAGTCACTGGGGGTGGCCCCAGTGGCATTCCCTGTTTAGGGAGTTACTCCCCAGAATACTGAGTCCTTCTTCTTTAAAGGATGTGTGGATAATGAACCCTGCTGGAGTTGGTAGTGTTTGCTGTGCAGTAGCCATGAATGCCAGGCTTTGTGGCTTGTTTTCTTCTTTTGCTTGCTGTCTACTTTTTATTCACTGCAAATTGGTGCTATAAAACAGCCACTTTAGTCCACTTGCCTGTTCTGCAACGGCAAGGCCTGTCCTGCTCAAGTGAACGCTCCAATTTCATGTTCTTTTTCTGAAGCAGCACTTACATATGGTGCTTTTGTATCAAAGTGAACACTGCTGGTAGGCATTGACTGTTCTGGGGACTTGCAAGGCTTTGGCACTGACAAGAGCTGGCTCGTACTTTGCCCCCTGAAAGCTGGAGAGAAGATCTCTTCCTCCAGAGTTAATTCATCATCTTTCAAATACACAGACTATCTGTACACAATAATAAATTCAAAGCTAATTATTGTATCCTGCCTCTGGCRGTAATAACTAGTTTAGTGCATCACTGAGAAGCTTCACAAAAGAAGTCAACTTCAGGTGTTTCCCAGGCATATCCTTTCACACACACAGGTATGATAATGCGCCTGCAGCTTCTTCCTTTTTTCACGGGCTTCAGTAACACCAAAGGAATATATCTAAGTAGCTGTGCTTTAAAATGCTGGGCAAGGGTTCCTCTGACAAATGGTCCTTTAGTTTGTACACATTGTTAAATTTTTAGCTTTAAAATATTTTTCATCATATTTTGCCATGATGTCCTTTGAAATTCTATTTTTAAATAATATTTTAGCTTCCAAGTTAGACAATTTCTTCATTTCCCATTACCTTCTTGTGTCAGATGTGCTGTTCACTGATATGGATCCATCCCTGTTGGAATTCGAGTATAATTGTGCGAGGATTGGATTGTGTTGAGGACAAACATTTGGTGGCRTGTTAGGCATAGGGTGGCCCCCTTGCTGACCAGGGAAGCCCTGGGGACGCTGTCAGGTCCACGTGCTGGTGACAGCCGGATCAGTGGCRCGCGGTGGAATCCAGGCCCTGCGGCTGTCACAGCGCTTGCTGTTTCTGCACTGCCTGTTTTCTCATGGTCAGTCTGTGCTCAGTGCCCTGTAATTCCCCACTGTAAGGGAAAGGCTCAGTCATACATATTTTTCTTTACTGTAACAACATGCTTGTCGTGATGATTGGGAAGCAGAAAAGAGCAGGCTTCTGGTGGAGCTGTGATGTTCCAAAAATACTGGGCTGCCAAGCCAAAATAATATGTGAGAACAAGGAATAACAATTCACCCTGCACATCTCAGCTCTGTGAAAACAGATAATTTAAAGATGATATTGATTTGAAAAAAATAAAGAGTAAGTAAGCACTAATGGGAGAAAGTGGCTTTACCTTTTCTGAAAACCTTGCTGGTTATTAAAACCGTTGGGAAGAGCTCATTTCTGCAGGCAAATGAGCTTCCTACTTCCCGTTGCTCTCCCGATGGTTTCTCGGTCGACAGCCTCGGGTAAAAGGAGGAGCGTGTTGGGAAAGGGCTCTCTGGCAGCGTGGTTGCCATTAATACTGAGCATGCTGTGTAGTTAGTACTGGTGGCCCTATTCTGCTGCGTGGTTGATCTAGGAAGACAGCACAGTGAGGTTAGCTGACTGGAAGCTTAGTTTTTTTCTGAAATATTCTCCCAAGTCACCTTCCGTAGTCTCGCTGCTTTCCAGCCTTACCTGCTCACATTCAGTTGCAGCCACTCCACATCAAGTGGAGTTTTCCTGGCTAAGTGTATTTTCTTGGCTGTAATTTTGGACTGTCTCAAGGTTGGAAAAGTCGCCCCCCCTCTCTTGTGTCCCTCCCTCTGGCTCTTGCTGCAGTTGGAGGGAGCAGCGGTGCCCCTGTTGCCTCCTGCAGCCGCAGGACTGTGGGCAACTCTTAGTTTCTCTGTCTCCCATTTAAGCAGCTCTTCCCCATTTTCTTGGAGATTATCTGAAAATACTTTGGTAAGCACTCAGGAAAGCAGCTTAGCAGAAAAGGAGGACTATTGCTGTGTAATTCAGRTGGGGGAAGTATCTAGTGCAGCCAATATATGTGACACCTACCTTAGCTTACTGTAAAACACCTTTTCATCCTCTACAATTATCCCAACAATCCTCTTCCATTTCCAGTTTTACATATCCTTGGTATCCGTTCTCTGTCTATGGAAAGATCAGGGCTGCCCTTCCTGGCTTCCAAGGAGGATATCAGAAAATGGACATCCCTAAATGTGCTGTGGGTCGTGTTATCTGCAGGAAAAGACACAGAYCTTCCCTACCCCTGCCGGGCGCCGAGCTGCGCCTGGACACTGAGCGCTGCTGCTGCGCAGTGCAGCTCGGCGCCGGCAGAGCTAGTGGGGAAGCGCTGGGGCAGGCGGTGCTGCGCGGGCCATCGCCTCGGCTGCCGCCGTGCAAGGAGGCTGCTCCTGGCCAACAACCATCCTCTCTTCCGTTTCCAGGTTTTTACCCTCTCGTTTTATTAATATCTCCATATTTCTTAGAATAGAAGACGTGAATTAGTTACATTTTGGGAGAGGAAAAAAAAAAAAAGGCACTTAGATTGGATGCTTTTCTTGACTACTTATTGAATTCAATTTCATTAAAGTTCTTGTTCACCCAAGACTGCATTTTTAAAGCAAATAGTAATGCAAATAAGTTGCTCGGTTCCACTTGAAATTGATTTTCCCATTGTTTGTTTCATTTGTCTGCTGGGAATGGCACAAAATTGCTTAAATTTGCATTACACTAGCAGTAAATGGAGTAGATTTTTAGAATGAGGATCTCAGGTAGACATTTCCTTTTGTGCAAAAGGAGAATTTCACCTGCAAAATGAGCACGTTGCCTGAGGAGGTTTCTGACTGGCGCAGGTGCCCGGGCMAGCCGCGCGTCGCGGCCACTTGCTGCCACCAGCCGGTGTCACGGGGGTGCGCCCAGTCACCAAACCCTGCAGCAGCCGTCCCATAACACGGGTGCTCAAAACACAATTAAAAGCATTAGGATGGTTTTCCACTGGGAAAAGCAGATGTATGGCGTGCAACTTGCTTCTGATTCCCAGGTCAGTGTCAAATGTGCTTCTCTCCTAATGCTCTGCCAGTCAGCGCCGAGCGGGAAGCCTCGCACCCGTGAGTCCTCCAGCTTGGAGCACACAGTGTTGGGAAGTGTTGAGTGCATGTGTGGGTGCCCATCCTCCACCGCTGGGTTTTCCCTGGAACGCTGAATGTGGAAATGCAGACTTACCTTGAACTGTAATTAGCCAGTTAGATCGAGCAGATTCAATTTAGTTGTTTCCTCCCAAATGAAGTGCATATCAGAGCCCTTTAATCATCTATGCACTGTATATCATTAACATTTTGGTGTACAAATTGCTTGTAAATACTGTGCCACCTATTAATGGCAAAGAGAAATCACATATATAAATGCCCTAGTGTCAATAAGAGTCAGCTGAGGGTTATACAGGGATAAGGAAGCTCGTGTTCACTGACAGATGTTTAGTTCCTGATAATGTTCACTTTTCTTCCATATTTGTATAACATTTTTTCTCTTAAGTAGTTGCACACTACAAGTATCTTCTGCTGCCTCTGTGATTTTTGGAAAGTGAGTCCCAGSTATGTGCTTGCTTTACAGTTTAACACATCTGCAGTCACACTTGACCCTCCAAGCACCTGCTAAGTTTGGATGCATCACAGATAAGTTTCCTACAGTGAAGTGTTTATTTTGAGTSTCTTTTATAAAAAGGGAATAGCGTGCATTAAAGCCAGACAGCAACTAACTCTGAATGAGTGGAGACAAATGAAAGACTGGGATATGGTTTTGATTAAAGAGAAAATAATGTCGGTTGCGTGGGCAGCTGCCCACTGCAGGCGCGAACCCAGCGCTTCGGAGCGAGTGCCGAAACTCGGATAGCTTCAGTGGCTCGCGGTCCCGGTCAGAAATCGGTGTGTGCCGGACATCAGGAATGCTTGGATGTTAAAACAGTTGGATAGTTTTCTTTTAATAATGATGCAGTGCTGTGATTACTTAAGATGAAGTGTGGTCTCTGCAGTATTTAGTATGTCTGAGTCTTTCTCCTTTAAGTCCCAGAACACATAACTTATGGGATCACYGCATGTAACGCGTTACAAAATTAATTACAGTGCCAGAACAGTTTGTTTGGCAAGAACAAGTGTAAGTAAGTGAGAATGTAAGTAAGAAAGAGTAATGAAAACAAGAATACTGTAAGGATCCACAGCAGCATGAGCTTTAATGGCCA